ATCCAGATACAAAACTCGCCAAAATTGAGTAGATCAGGTATGGATTTTTTATAGCGACATTGGGTTCAATTGTGATCATGCTAAAAAAAAGGAAAAAGAGAAAGAAAAAGACACTAAAAAGGATTAATCTCGGTCCCGATACAAAACTCGTGGTAGCGGCCTTGGAAAATGATTTTTTTTTGACAAAAGATAATCATATATTGATACCAAAAAAGATAGTTACATCCTGGAACACAGCCAGGCCTGATAATTAAAAACACGACTCATAGTCGGGTACAAGGAGAGGGCTTTTCTAGCCACCAAATGGGCTACCCTATTGTTACGCCGACCTATAAACCGAACACTAAACCCCGGATTACTAGCGAAAAGATTCAACACTTCCTCCAAAATAGCCCCCATCCGGCGATCTCGAGAATCCCCCAGCTTGATTTTGTCAATGAGCACTTTAGCATCCCCTTCAAACCGAACAGTGACGAGGCCCTGCCCCAAACACCACAGAATAGCCTCTCGCAAAGCCAAAAGCTCCACAGTCGCAGGGTCATCAATGACAGGGAAGGAAATTCCAGACGCCCTATAGGTGTCCCCATTAGGGGTCAAAAGAACCATACCTCCAGCCGCATGTGACCCCCTCCTCGTAGCACCATCCCATCTGCAAACCAACCCACCAGGTTCCACCAGCCGAGGCCCAAGATCGTCAACCACCAGATTGCGGTGATGCTCCTCCATTGGAAGCCGTGCCCATTCCTCAACCTGCTGCACAAACTGGCGCATCAGAACCGGCAGCCCAAACTGCTTACCCTCGAAAACTACCCAGTTCCGGGATTTCCAGATCCGCCAAAGGACTGCAATAATAGCCATCCACTGCGAAGGCTGAGGAACTAACCCCATCAACTTCTTAAGAAACAGGGGGAAGTTTTCCCGGGGTAAACCTTCCCCTAGATGCTCCATCCCCGCCGCTCCCCACACAGCTCGCGCCACAGGGCAATCCAAAAACAGATGCTCCAAAGTTTCAGGTCCTTCCCAACAGACCGGGCACCGAGCCAGGACTGGGATATGACGGCTAATGAGAGCTTCAGTTGTCGGTAATATCCGATTGAAGATCTGCCAGGTAAAAACCTTCAATTTTGGCGGAATCTTAGCCTCCCATATCTTAATCCAGCTTATCCTATCCATCCAGTCCACCGTCGACTTCACTCGCCCCCTCCTTCGATCCAGAGTCACAGCCAGGTGATATGCCGATTTGACTGTGAACTCCCCGTCCGCCGTATCAAACCAGATGAGCTTATCATCCACATTCTCACGCGGGAGGGGGATAGCTTTAATGAGACGGCATGTGTCAGGATCGAACCACTGCCGAAGCTTTTGGTCACACCACCTCCCTTCCCCTTGACAAATTAGCTCCGCTACTGCCGGATCACCTCCAATCGGCAAAACCTGAGGATTGTACCGAATAGGCTCAAACTGCAAGTCAGGGACCCAGGTGGAGCGCAACATAGACACCGAGCGTCCATTCCCCACCTGCCAGCGCAGTCCCATTTCCAAGAGTTGGCGGCCAAACAGTATACTCTGCCATCCCCATGATGGGCGAGAACGCGCTTTAGCTGACAAAAAATGGCCATTTGGGAAATATTTTCCTTTATAAACCTGAGCTAGCAAAGAAGTGGGGTCCATGAGAATACGCCAGCCGAGCTTGGCCAATAACGCCTGATTAAACTGCTCAAAACTGCGGAACCCCATCCCTCCATCATGCTTACTTCGACACATCTCTCGCCAAGATTTCCACCTCACCTTCGGATGCCCCTCATTCTCACCCCACCAAAACCGGGCAACATGCCTGTCCAGAATACGGCACAAAGTCAATGGAAGTTTGAAGCAGGACATCACATGCAGAGGCAATGCCAAAGCAATAGATTTGATTAGCGTTTCTTTTGCTGCCCAAGACAGTGTCCTCTGCTTCCAACCCTGAAGCCGTTCGAGTAATTTTGCTTCCAAAAAACGAAAGGTCTCCATCTTCGATCTTGAAATTAAAGACGGGAGCCCCATATATTTATCATGAACTCCAACTGCGCCTACACCAAGGACCGCCGCCAAAAAGTCTTGATCCTGTTGCACTATATTTCTACTGAAGCAGACCGCCGATTTGGCAAGATTCACCCTTTGGCCACTCAACTCCTCATACTCATTGAGGACCTCAATCAGATTTTCACATTCCTGAAGGGAGCCCCGAAGGAATAAATACGAGTCATCGGCAAAAAATAAGTGCGTCAGTCTAGGAGCCCGCGGCGCCACTCTAATCCCTGCTAACCTTTTTTCAGCTGTGGCCTTCCGGAGAAGCGCCGCAAACCCCTCAGTGCAAAGCACAAAAAGAAGAGGTGATAACGGGTCCCCTTGGCGCAGGCCTCTAGAAGAGGAAAAGAACCCAGACGGCGTGCCATTCATCATAACTGAAAAAGACGCAGAGCTGAGACATTCCTTGATCCAACCTACCCAGGTAGAGCTAAATCCCATTTTTACCAAAACCTCAAGGAGAGGTAATCGTGATTCTTCTTTATGAATTTTTTGGACTGATTGGAAGTTTGAGTAGGTTCAGCATTGATCAGGTCAAATTAGGTTTGATACCATGGATTTGGGTGCAATTGTCTTTCTCAAACAAAAGGAAAAAGCAAAATGAAACACACTAAAGCTAAAACTCGCTACCGACTCAAAACTCGTCAACACCAGCTTCAACTCGCTTTGACCTGACTGAACCATGTTTTGGGAAAATTCACACCTGACACAACCCGCCAATTACAATAACAGATAAAACTCGCTCCCGCCAAAACCTGTAAAACAAGATTCAAGTCGCTTTGGTCGAGTCGAATTAGGTTGGATACTCATGCGTTTGTACTCAATTGTCATTCTCAACCAAAAGGAATAAGATAAAAAAATGCTTAAGTGGATAAAAACTCGCTCACGACCCCAAACGCTCAACATTGCGCTTCAACTCGCTTTGACTGGGTCGACCCAAATTTAAAAAATTCACAATCTACCCAACTTGTCAATTACAAAAGCGGATATAACTCGCTCTCAATAAGAAATACGTCAACAATGGGTCAGAGTTCAATTTTCATTCTCAACAAAAAGAAAAATGAGAAATAAAGAAACATTAAGCTCTCTCACAATACAAAACTCGTCAATACCTTAGATTTGGGTACAATTGTCTTCCCAACCAAAAGAAAAATTTATAAATACTAAAGTCGGTTTCAAGTCGCTTTGACCGGATCAAATTAGGTAGGATACCCATGGATTTGGGTTCAATTGTGATCATGCTCAACAAAAAGGAAAAAGTGAAACAGATAAACACTAAAGCGGACGAAACTCGATCTCGATACAAAACTCGCCAACATTGAGTAGATCTAGTATGGATTTTTGATAGCGGCAGTGGAAATTGGTAAGCGATGTCGAGAATTGTACACAGTATATCTAGTATGGATCTTTGGTCGCGGCCCTGGTAACAGTGGAAGAGGACAACTCAGGATTCCACCGACAGTGTTTCGAGTTGGGTTGCAAAATGGTGCGAAAAGGCGATGATTTGGGTTCAAGTTAGGATACCCATGTGTTTGGGTTCAATTGTGATCATGCTAAAAAAACACTAAAGAGGATGAAACTTGGTCCCAATACAAAACACGTGGTAGCGGCCTTGGGAAACGGTGGTGTGGAACAACTTAGGATTCCGCCGACAGTATTGGCTGCGAAATGATGTGCAAACCTAGTAGGCAATAATTGTTATGGGAAACACAATTGACAATAGATATAAACCTAGAGAACAATAGCTAAACACAATGGTTGTAGAATGGAGAGTGGGATAAAAGGAGGAGTGTGAGAGCTACTATAATTGTTGCAATAGGTAACGCAATGAGCAATAGATGAAACCTAATGGACAATAGATGTAGACCCAACGGACAATAAATGAACACAAAGGTTGTAGAATGGGAGAGTGGGGTAAAAGATGAAACTTAAAACTTGCCCACTTGCAAGGAGGAGTGCGAGAGCCACCAATGAATAGTAACACCAAACCTAGGCTTTTATATATTAATTAATTAATGACCAATAGATGTAGACCCAATGGACAATTAATGAACACAAAGGTTGTAGAATGAGAGAGTGGGGTAAAAGATGAAACTTGCCCACTTGCAAGGAGGAGTGTGAGAGCCACTAATGAATAGTAACATCAAATCTAGGCTTTTATATATCAATAAACTTCACATTACGTAGACTACTTAAACATGTGAAAATAAGATCTTACTCACAACTATTTATTTTGCCCTGCATTGCACGTCAATGAAATATTACATGGGAGTAGGCTGTTAATGCATTGCACGTGAATGAAATATAACAATGTAATATTACATGGGAGTAGGGTTGTTAATGAGCCGAGTCGAGCCGAGTTTTGGCTTGTTCATATTCGGTTCGTTTATAAACAAGCCGAGTCAAGTCGAACACGAGCCAACTCATTTATTAAATCTTGACAGATCATTAAGATCGAAAGTTCAGTTCGAGCTCAACTCTAAGATAATTTATTATATAAATACTCTAATATTTATATGACATATGTGATACATGTAATTACCTAATGTTATGTCATATATGATAGATATTTGCTTACATATACTCAATGTATTAAACACCATATGAGGTGATATATACAATTTAATAATTATATGCATCATTACAAACCAACTCATAAAATATAGATTGATTTTCTCATAATCTGTAGTCAAGTTGGCTCTCTAGTCACAATGTTGGGACATCTCATAAGTTCAAAACGAGACAGTTCATGCATTGTATTCAACGAGCCATCTAATCGAGCTAGTTCACGTAGAAGCATTCATCAAGAAAGCCCATAACATTACTTAGAGATAATTGAACATACAAGGAAGATCTACGCAAAATGAAAAGCACAAGGCACAACCTTACAAACAAATCTCCGAGAAAAGACAAGAAACACACATCATTAACGTCTACATCATCACAAGGTTTTGAAAGGTCTTCATTGTCGATTCTGGTAAAGCTATATAAACAATCATATCTCCATAGTGCTCTTTCCCATTGCCGGGAAAAAATATCACCATCTCATCAATAGGCAACGCTACTGGTGCCATAAAAATAGCGTCTCCCCACCCAAAATCAGTGGTGCCAAAGGGAATCCTGGACCAGGTTGTCGCAAGAATAGTATGTCCAAAAGAATGCACACTTCTATGCAGATCATGATAATCAATCGAAGATCTAACACTAGCATCTGTAACCATCTTGATTGCATCTTGAACCAACCCCACTGTTGTTGAAAATGACTCATTGTTCAAATCCTTAGCTTTGCTGATGGTGCAAGCCACTGCAATTCCATTCCCCAAGTGCCCTTTAGGCAATGGCGGATCCATTTTCTCCCTCACATTCACAGGTACCATGAGTTTGGTTTCCTGATCGGCAACCATGTTCAACGCCTTGCTTCGAGCTATCCAAATGAAAGCTGTAAGGCATTCGAAAGTGGAGCACTTGGAGATAACTGCATCTTCCATAGCCTTTGATTTTAGTTTCTTTATCGATTCACAGTTAAAATGAAAAACCCTACACACCATGTTCTCTTTGGAGAAGTCATTTGAGTTAGATGATGATGACTTGTTCTCTATATTTGTAAACTCCGGATGAGGGAACTCAACCTTCGGAGGATTACGTGGTAGAAGAGAGCTCTTATCTAAACTAGGAAGCACTGAAATTGGCAGTCCTCTAGCAATCTCGGCCCATGAGTTCACAACCTCCGTCGCTGTAAAACCATCGGTCAGGCAATGAGAGATACACATTCCGAAAATGAATCCTCCACATTTGAGTTTTGTCACCTGCAACCAACTTTGATTCGTCAATGAATGCAGGATTGAGATCAAATAAATATTGACATCAAATTAACGTCATATTAATTATTAATATATAAAAGCCTAGGTTGTGAGTTGCTATTTATTAGTGGCTCTCACACTCCTCCAAGTGCAGTGGGGAAGTTCCAAGTCCTTCTTTTATCGGGACCGAGTTTCATCTTCTTTAGTGTTTTTTTTCTTTTTTTCTTCCTTTTTGTTGAGTAACCCAAACACATGGGTATCTACCTTGAACATAAATCCTCGGCTTTGCCCATCATTTTGGAGCCCATCTTGAAATACTGTTGGTGGAATACTAAGTTGTTCCCCACCACCATTTTCCAAGGCCGCTACCACGAGTTTCGTATCTGGACCGAGTTTCATCCTCGTTAGTGTTTTTTTCTTTCTTTTTTCCCTTTTTGTTGAGCATGATCACAATTGAACCCAAATACATGAGTATCCTAACTTGAACACAAATCATCGCCTTTGCCCACCATTTTGCAGCCAATCTCGAAATATTGTTGGCGGAATCCTAAATTGTTCCCCACCACCATCATTTTCCAAGGCCGTGATATCCTAAAAAAAAAAAAAATGAAGCTAAAAGCTCTCCCCTCTCTCCTCAAATTTCTTTGGTCGGAGGCGTTTCTCTTCCTTGTCGGCATCGGAGCAACCCTCGCCAGGATCGCAATCAGAGCTCTGGCGGTGGTGCTTGCTAATCAAGGCTTGCAATTTGGGCCAGGGAATGAGCGAAACTTTGAGAATCAATTCGCTGGATATCCTCAGCAGCTCAGAGCGGCGACACCGGAGACGCAGCAACGACAGAGGAAGTCTAAGAGGATCCCTGCATCCTGGTATAATCAGGGGGATGAGAAATCCAGGCGAAAAAGAAAACGCACGATGGATTTCCCCTCGACGGAGGATAGTTTCAAACGCTTCAGGGGCTGTAGGAAACCGGGATGGTGTTTCCGGATCCCTGCTCAGGAAGAGCTTGATGGACCGGTGGGGGGGATCCTACAGTGAATCTGAAAAGTCAATTGAACGGGACAAAGAAGGATAGATTTGGTTTAGATCAGGAAGTACTCAGAGCCCGGAATGGGACAAGGACTTTTGGTACGCAGATCTGGCGTTTCACGATCCCCTCGCCATTTGTGCAGAATGAAGATGAAGGGGGTCTAGTAAAAATCGTTTCAGGCCAGGTATGGCCGTTCCGCCGATCGTCACTAGTGAACTGATGGCGGCAGGATTCAGACCCCGAAATGGGGCGAAGCCTGGGTCGATGGTGGGGGACTTTTGTACGTTCGGCTCGGCCGGTGACCGTCCGATGGATTCAGTATGCCGGCGAGCTAACTCACTCTGGCAAACGTGTTGGGATAGGATTCCCAACGTTCCTAACCAGAATCCCAATCCCGGTCGACAACGTCACAAACCCAATCGCCAAAATCTCGGTAAAGGAGGAGAGATATCTACCAGATTGATTTTTAAAAATCAAACTTGTAGACTCCTACCCAAATTCTACTTTGCCCGACGCCGTCCCATAGTTCCTCAGTGGGCTTATTTAACTCTCCTGCCTACCCCAAAGTTTCCTACTTGCTATACAGCAAAAAAGCAAACGTTTGATCGGGAGGGCTGGCAGCGAAGGAAAGTGAAGGCTGAGGATCGGCGGATATCTGGTGAGTGGTTTCTGAACCCGGCGGACATTTTGTTCCGTGTTTTGGGAAATAACGCCCCATTGGCGATTATTGGATATTTGTTTTGGTGCTTCCCTGTCTCGGAAGGAGTGGGTCTTGAATCTATTCTTGATATACCTGCTGATTTGCTTCCTTTTCAGGAGGAAATCATGGCACGGATCACCAATGACCAAGTGGTGGAATTCTCCCTTGAGGAGATCCAAGCAACTCGTGTGCACAAATCACGTATGCTGATTGGTAGACTTTTTTCTGATAATCGGTTCTCCACTGCTGAGCTGCGGGATGCGGTGAACCGGCCTTGGCAAGGTCAAGGGCGCATCATTGTGCGGGAACTAGCACACGATCTTTACGAATTCACTCTCCCGTCGGAAGCTTCCAAAGCGTGGGTCTTGCAGCGAACCCCCTGGATCGTTGCGGATAGGATTCTACATCTGAAGCCATGGAGTCCCTCAATTTCTTCCCGCACGTTTGAGGAGCTGGCCAGTGTCCCTTTCCGCATCCAAATCTGGGATATACAAGAGGATTGCTGTACTCACCAATTTGGGCGGAAGATAGTGAATTCCACAATAGGACGCGTTTTGGAAGCTGGCGTCTTTTCTAGTGATGATAATGCCCGGAAGTTTGTGAAAGTGAAAGCCCTAGTGGATTTTTCTGAACCTCTCCGTTCCCAAGTCATGGAAACTAATGATGAGACGGGGAGGTTTTGGATCCGATTTAAGTATGAGTACCTCCCCATTTTCTGTTTCAAATGCGGTCGTGTGGGGCATGCCCGTCAAGCATGCCATTTTGATCCGCCAGCAAGGAAAGAAAAATTGGGCCTCACATGACCACCAAGGAAATGGGGAAAAGACTCTTTGATGGGGAGGAAGCTCATTTCCAAGCTCCTAGGAATCCACGGACAGTGTGGATAAATCCTGAGGTCCAGGGCCCCCACCAAACAACTGCAGGCCGGGGATTGGGAGCCCAGAGGGTTGGGCCGAATCTAACAGGTGGTGTGGAGGCAGGTTCGTGCTCCAGGAGGAATGGGCCGCGGAGGTCTCTTGCTAGTGGATCAGAGGAAGGGCCTGAGGACCCTGTGAAGATGGGCCCATCAAAAGGCCCGGTGGCAGCCGCTGAAGCCCGCTATATGGGGCGGAACCAGAAACACTTCTTGGTTGCCAGGGGGCCCAAATTGGCCATAGGTAATTTGGCCCGCCGGGGTAAGTCAAAGACTGGGTCAGCGCTGAGTCCAATGGAGGTTGATGGCCCAAGGGCTAGTAGCAAGGTAACCGAAGAGATGAAGCGGGCTTCGACAGTAGCAAATGGCGGGTCGGGAGATCGGGGAAGGAAGAAGGGGGATGCGACGCGTCGCCGAAGAAATGCAGCACCTGAACCGATCTCTTTGGGGGATCCTAAATCAAAGAAGCCAGAGGGAAAAGCAAGGCCTCGGCGACTGATTCTTGAAGAAGAATCGGAAGAGGAATTCTTCCTCAGTGAGGTCGTGGCCCAATCTCAGTCGAAATCTCAAACTGTGGATCGTCACCCTTCCACGGTGCCGGTGCCCGGTGGATGGTGTGTATACAAGCGGTGCCGCTGCGGCAATCCCCCCTACACAGGAGTTTATGGGCGAGAATAATCATACTCCCCCTGAACTGAGGCCCCGTGGGAGAAAGGCCCGTGCCATTTGCTGGAGAAAGAAACGGAACAGCTGTTGCAGGGTGAGGAGGGGAGGAGGCGAGCCTGTGAGTCCAGCGGAAGAGGAGCAGCAAGATGAAAGTTCCAAGCCAAGCCCGGAATCCTGGGTGTCGGCTGATTCTTTGTCAGGAGATGAGATGCAGAATTTTGAAGTGCGGCGTAGCATCCGCCCCAAGTCAGGCCACTTTTAAAAGAATGGGCCGGTCCAAAACCGTGTTCACCAGGTGATTGAGGCCTTTGAAAAAGGGATGACCATGGCTGATATGGGACATTCTGTGGCTGAGAATCAAGTTCGTATGGGGGAAAATGTGCTAATTAATACTCTTGACGAATATGGTTCGAACTTAACTGCTAAGATGCGAGCACGAAGAAACGACATCTGGAGAGATAACAGGGAAGGAGGCAGAAAGCCCGGTTCCCAAAAGCAATTTCGTGGAAGATTTGGATGATACTGATAAGGTGGAGGAAGCCAGCCTGGAGTGGCCCCAAGCGGATCAATGAGGCTGCTAGCCTGGAATGTGAGAGGAATTGGACATCCCTCACATTCCAAACAGCGTTTGGTTTGGTTCATTCTAATAAGCCGGATCTCGTGTTCTTTTCGGAAACGCGATCGAGACGGAGAGTAGTTGCCCGGCGTATGCGGGGTCTAGGTTTTCTTAATTCTTGTTGTTTTTTTGTCGATTGCGGTTGATGCGTCTGGTGGTCTGGTTGTAGCGTGGTCCCCCGAAGTTGATGCTTCGGTTTTATTTCATTCGAATTTTTGTATTTTTGTATCAAGTTAATGAAAGGAACGTTTCTTATGTGGTGATTTTTGTCTACATTAGCTGTCATGCTGCTATAAGAGCCTCCAGCTTGAGCATTTGCGTGGGCTATTGTGACGGTTTATCTAGACCCTATGTTATCATAGGGGACTTCAATTCTACGTTGCAAGAATGTGAAAAAGATGGGGGAATCCTTGGAATGCCCTTCAATCGGTTAGCTTACGTGAGTTCATCCGTGATATGGGTCTCATCGATCCAGGGTATTAGGGGGATACTTTTACTTGGACAAATAAACGTATGGGCACTGCTTGTGTGCGTGAACGTTTAGACAGAGCTCTTTGCTCCCAAACCTGGCAAGAGTGCTTCCCGGATACCCTAGTGAAACACTTTACGGACCAAGGATCTGATCATCGAGCGCTTCTGCTTTCTGACAAACCGTATGTCCGTAATAGTAGACCTCTGTCCGATTTGATGCCAGGTGGGCAGAGAACCCTGAAGTAAGGGCCATGGTGGCGTATGTCTGGCATGAGGATGTCCAAGGAACCCCCATGTTTAGATTATGGGAGCGGCTCAAGAAGCTACGGCATCTGTTGTATGACTGGAGCCGAGCAGGGACGACTAATTCATTGAGAAATATAAAGACTTTGCAATCTGAAATTGAGCATATCAAGCAGAACCATCCCATCAATTGGGATGAGATCCGCATCCTTGAGGCGGAGTTAAGTAGACAGTGGGAGGCGGAGGAAGAGTACTGGCAACAAAAATCCAGAGTCCGTTGGCTAAAGAAGGGTGATCAGAACTCTTCGTATTTCATACGGTGACGAGGACTCGG